AGCTGCTAATAACCTTTGGCTTGGCCAGCCTGGATTTCTGTCCATGGGGTTACATTACCTCTACAATTAACAAGAAAGCCCTATTTTTAGGTATGCAATTCTTATAATTGGCGATTGAGGAGTGTCACGGTTGCGCCAATATTACTCATAGGCAGTGATGGGCACAAATAAACAAAAAAATGACTCAAATCGCAGATCAGAATACCCTGAAGTAATGAAGTAATTCGAATCACAAATTTGAGGTTTTTTTTCTTCACAAATCCAAATGTTTACATTGAAAATAAATTTTTGCTTCAAATTTTAAAATTTTTTTTGAATCATGAGTCTGGTATTATGTTGGGGGAGAAAATGAAATAGAGGATTTTGGAGCTTGCTCGTTCAACTGGTCTAATTTTGTTTAAAAATTCCTTAATATGTTTAAAAGTTGAATAAAATATACTACAAAGCCTATTTTATCCATAATGGAATGTTGAAGAATCAAAATTTTACATTCTTCTGCACTATGATTCGTTTGAACCCACCCCAAATGGGGGTTTTCTCTGGTGCGATTCAAAATGAATAACCCTGTAGATTCTATTTGTACCAAAGTGCTTTGATGTAATTCAAAAAATGTATTTTATTGGAAGTCTTCTCTGACATGAGGATGAATTTTACCTGCTTCAGTTGTTTAGATAAAGGACAAAGAAGCCGCGAAACATTCACCGAGAAGGGTGCCAGCCTCATGATCAGATCCGTAATATTCTGTAACTCATTTGAGAACCTGTTCGCTGTCTAGCATTGCAGTGCTAGACCACTCATTAGTATTATGTGCTCTGTAATTACAGCATTTAGGTTTTATCCCCCATATTTACTCGTCGGCTTTTCGGTGATAGTGGTCCAGTCGAATGCAATCATCATTTAAGTCAAAGTGTATTTTGTAGGCTTTTTTCAAAAAATCATTATTGGGCATTATTACGGAGTCTTAGTTTTTATTTATTTTTTTGAGTCGATTTGCTGCCATTATAACTTATACTTGTTTAAATTTCAGAATTCCAAAGAAAATTTTGCGGCTAGTCAAAATAGTGGTGGACTCGGATCTCGTCGCTCTAATGGCACTCAATCCCAAAGACGTTTACCCTCCATCAAACGACCTATCGCTGCGTCGGTTTCGATGCAAGGATGGCTCCACAAGCAGGGCAGTGAGGGACTTATGTTGTGGAAAAAGAGATGGTTTGTGCTGTCCGAATATTGCCTGTATTATTATAAAAGTAAGTAAAGTAATATGATTTTATTAGTAATTTGTTTCTTGATAGAAAAACTTGCCTTAATGTTGGTTTGAAAAAGTACGAAAGTGATTATGGTTACAAGGAACTCTGTTTTTAACTTGAAAATTCTAAAGGTTCCTTGAGGTTTATTGTTACCAATTTTTGCTGTATTTGTATACTGCGACTCGAAGATGGCTCGCGTAGCCATAATCACTATCAAAGTATTTTATAGAACTTTTTTGGGGGGACTGACGATGAGAATTTTCTCATTTGAATCAGGAAGTGTCTAAAATATTGTAAAAGTATTGTTTTTGGATTAGGTGTCGTCAAAACGAGTACAAATGTTTATTTATGCGTCAGTTATTTTTAATCAAACAATAGTCTAACTTCCTCTCTTTTTGCACGATTAATTAGTTGCAGAGAATGATATTTTTTTTTTTTTGTTGCTGTCTATAAATATGTTGCACTAGATCAGTGAGAAGCTTCCTCTTTTTAGTGTTTTTATGTTCTATTAATTTTCACTATCTACTCGCTGGAAAAAAAAATTTAATTGAGTGAGAGATTTATTTATGCTTCGATTCATGAAGAACAATTATTTTTCAATTTTTTTATTACTAAATGGGTGAAAAAGTGGTCGGAGTAATTGACATTTCAGATTTTTTCTCTCTCTATAATTCAAAGTACCAAAATTTTACTTAAAATTGCTTTCATTTTTGATATTTTTTCAAATCTACTGTAGTCTGTAAGGTTTTTTGTACATATGTACTTTGAAGCAAATTTTAGCAATGTTGCCAGTTACAAAAATAAAATTACATCAGAATTTTGCCTCCATGTAACAATATCAATACTTTGATCCAATTTTCAGATTTTATATCACATGTACCTGTTGCACCTAAAATATTCGTCTCTTACCCTCTGTACCTTTCTTTCGAAAAGTAAAACTTGTTTTCACGTTCATTGCGTGTCCGAAATTTTATGCTCTCTGATGGTTTTTACTTGATTGATTATTCTGGTTTTGATGCACGATTTATTATGTTTCAGACTCGGACGAAGAGAAAGTTCTCGGCTCAATTTTACTACCATCTTACAAAATATCGCCATGCACCACCATTGAAGGAAAGTTATTTCGAAAAAAATTCAGCTTCAAAGCCGAACATGCCAATATGAGGACTTATTATTTTGCTTCTGATTCTCGAGAAAAAATGGTCCAATGGATGAATGCGATGAGCTTAGCCTCAATTGCACAAGATCAGTCTGTAGGGTGAGACTATTTTTTTCTTATTTCATTCTTCATAGAAAAATTTAAGAATGTTTGTTTCATTTCGAAATATTTACCTACCCATTTATCGATGTATTAATTACTCGATATTGATTGCATTTCTGTTCTATTTCAGCAAAAATGAATCACGTAAAACCAATACTCTAGCACCCAGCGTTCGCGATAAAAACATGACTGTTGGTTTCTCCATACCAAACAACTGGCCTCGTAACATGCGCATGAATAATGGTATGCCGAATGGTTCCCATCCCAGCAACAATCTCAATCAAAATCACCCGTATCATCCGTCCAATAGTAACAATGTTGAAAACTACGTGCAACCGTTATACGTAAACGCTCCCCCGAAACCTCGACGAATTGGTGAGCCATCCGATTCAACGTACGATAAAGCTGTGCCTGCGCTATGGCTAAAATCTCTGCAGACCCACCTCCAGAGCGACCTCTAACTCGCCATCAGCTGCCAAACCGAATGCTGGCCCACGTTGAATCGTCAAGGGTGAATTACGCTGATCGACGTACGCCGGACGCGTATGGTACTTCACCCTGCTTTGACGGACGTGCGTCGTCTCCGTCCAAAGTATC